AAAAAAAAAAAAAAAAAAAAACGAAAACGTGGTCAATCTATACCATGGAATACGATTCAGCCGTCCAAAAGAATGAAATAACATTCTTCCACAGCAACTTGGATGACATTGGAGGCCATCACCCTAAGTGAAGAAACGCAGGAACAGAAAACCAAACCCCGCATGTTATCACTTCTAAGCAGGAGCCAAACTAAGGATTTGCAAAGGCAGAGAGAATGGCACCATAGACACTGGAGACTCGGGGGGTGCGGTTGAAAAATCACCTCTTGGGTACAATGTGTCCATGTAACCAAAAGCCATTTGTGTCCCTAAAGCGCCTGGGAAAAAAAAGGGGACCTGTGAACCTGCTTTTGGTGCTAGGGAAGCCGGCATCCCCGGAAGCCCTGGCTAACAGGAACCCGAGGGGCATCAGGGTAAGGAGAAAAGAGACGTCCCTGTGGTCCTCAGCTCCTGGGAGAGCCAGGTACTCGGGCCGAGACTCCCCTCAGCCCTGTCAGGCGAAGGGGCCCAGTGGCCACAGCCTGTGACCGCTGTGGTGGCTGGGAGTGCATCCTCTCCTGTGTGTGTGTGATGCCGAAAATCCTGGCAAGTCCTTAGTACCCCTGAGACAGCCTAGCGCTCACAGAGCCAGGCCCAGACTGGAGTTTGGCTGCCAGCTCTCAGCACCTCCAGATAGTTCTTGACCTGGTAGACCAGCTGCTCTTTGCCAGCCTTGAGGGGGTGGTTTGGACACAGAAGTTGACTAGGCATCCCTTGTACAGAGCAAGGCCCGTGAAGAGAGGTTGAACATTCAACTGCTGTTGGTGATTCTTAGAACAGGTGACTTGGCCAGATGGCACAGCTAGCGGAAGCCAGAGTCCTGAGAGGGTCGGGTAGCCAGGCACCCTGAGCACCGCCCCAGGGAAAGGTTCAGGCAAGAACGCCCCAGGACAAGAGCCATTCCGGATCAGTGGCGAGGGAAAGGGAGGAAGATTGAAATGAGCTTCGCCTTGTTCAAAATTTATCCTCGGGAGGCCAGGCCTGCTTCACCTCTTGGCTCTTCCCTTGATCAAGCTCTGGGGGGATCCCCTTGGGGCCACTCTCCTTAACCTCCCTAATGCTTGTCCATGCTTGGGGGCCGATTCCTGGATCACAAAAGTTCTGCAAAGGCTGGATGCGACGGCTCACGCCTGTCATCCCAGCACTTTGGGAGGCCAGGGAGAGAGGATTGCTTAAGCCCAGAAGTTTGAGACCAGCCTGAGTAACATAGCGAGACCTCGTCTCTACAGGAAATCAAAAAAATTAGCCAGGAATGGTGGCATGCGCCTGTAGTTCCAGCTATGTGGGAGGACAAGGTGGGAGGATCACCTGAGCCAGGATGTTGAGGCTGCAGTGAGCCGTGACCATGCCACTGTACTCTAGCCTGGGCAACGGAGTGAGACCTTGACTCAAAAAAAAAAAAAAAAGAGTCAAAACCGCACTGAAAGAATTTTGAAGGCCACACTCTCATTTTTTAAATGCTTCTCGCCAGGCCGTCCACGAAGGTAAACACGTCTCTAACAGAAGGATTTGCTTCCGAGTGGTGACAGCCTAAACTTTGCCTAGGATATTCCCACAACAGGTTGGTTTGCTGGGATCCGAGCCTAACACCTGCTTGTAGAGCTCAGCCAGGTGCCACCTGCAAGGCCATGGGTACAGCCTACGGCTTTGCTCCCTGGGGGTGGTGCCGTTTCAGTGAGAGACGCCCCCGAGGGTGCCACCTTGCCTGCCCGCCAGAGCAGAAGAGCCAGGGGGACAGAAAGTTGGGGTCTCTCCTTCCAGAGAACTAAACGGAGGCCTCAAGGCATCCGGGCTCATGTGTGCCTGGGAGGGACCAGGTTTTGCTTGGGAATGTTTCAGTCTTGAGGTTTGGAGAAAGGCCAAAAGAATAAACAAACACACACGCCTGCTCTCTCTCTCTCTCTCTCTCTCTTTCTCTGTCTTTCTTCTTCTCTCTGTCTCTCCCTCTCTCTTTCCCTCCCTCCCTCTCTCTCTCTCTCTCTCTCTCTCTCTCTCGCTGTCTTTCTCTTTCTGTCTCACTCACTTTCTCTGTCTCTCTTTTTTTTTTTTTTTTTTTTTTTGAGTTGGAGTCTCACTCTGTCGCCCAGGCCTGCCTACCGCCACCAGCACTTCCCAGACGGGAGTTCCCTCTGCAGAAGGGTGGAGGGCAGGAGTGAGGCGTGCTGGTCGCCTGGTCAGAGACACTGGGCCCTCTGGACTGGGCCTGGGCCTTTTCTACTCTTTCTCTGTTGCTAAGAAGCAAAAGGCCAGGCCAGGTGTGGTGGCTCACACCTGTCATTCCAGCACGTTGGGAGGCCAAGGCAGGAGGATCACTTGAGACCAGGAGTTTGAGACCAGCCTGAGCAACATAGCGAGACTCTGTTTCTAAAAAGTAATAAACCAATAAATTAAATAAAAATAAAGCCGGGCATGGTGGCTCATGCCTGTAATCCCAGCACTTTGGGAGGCTGAGGTGAGAGGATTGCCTGAGCCCAGGGGTTCGAGACCAGCCCGGGCAACTTGCAAGTCTTCGTCTCTCTACAATAAATCTAAAAAATTAGCCAGGCGTGGTAGCACGTGCCTGTAGTTCCAGCTACTTGAAAGACTGAGGAGGAAGGATCGCCTGAACCCAGAAGGTCAAGGCTGCAGTGACCGTGAGCATGCCACGGCACTCCAGCGTGGGCCACAGAGTGAGACACCAACTCAAAAAATAAAAAATAAGCCGGGCTCAGTGGTTCAGCCTGTAATCCCGCGCCTTTGGGAGGCTGAGGTGAGTGGATTACCTGAGCCCGCGCGTTCGAGACCCGCCTGGGCAGCGAGACCTCATCTCTACAATAAATCAAAAAATCAGCCGGGCGTGGTGGCGCATGCCTGTAATTCTGGCTACTCGGAAGGCTGAGGCAGAAGGATCGCCGGAGCCCAGCAGGCCGAGGCTGCGGTGGCCGGGAGCGGCCACTGCACTCCAGTCTGGGCGACAGAGTGAGACTCCAACTCCAAAATAAAAATTAAAAAATAAAAAATAAGAAAAAAACCAAGACTTAGCAAAGAAGGCGCTAACAAGAGACAGGAGAGGGCACAGGCAAGATATTGCAGGGCCCCTGACGCCGTTGGGTGAGTTGGAGCCTTAAGATGGGCCGTAGATGGCAGTGGGTGGGAGCAAATCACGAACCCCAGGGCGTTCTGAGTTCAGAGTCCCTGGTTTGCTCCCGCGAGTCAGGTAAGAAGATGCTGATCATAAATAGATGAGGCCCCGATTTTCCAGGAAGAAGCAGTACCCGGCTTCACTGCATCGCTTCAAAGCGGGCTTGAAATCCTCCCAGGCCAGCTTCCCCAGAGCTGAGCTGTTTGTTCCCCTCCCCAGCTTAGGCAGAGACCACAGACCACCACAGTGCCCCTAGCGGGCCTTAAGAAGGACAGGAGTTTTCTATCCAGTAACCCCAGCACTTTGGGAGGCCGAGGTGAGTGGATTGAGTGAGCCCGTGGGTTTGAGACCCGCCCGGGCAACTTGGCGAGACCTCATCTCTACAATAAATCAAAAATCAGCCGGGCGTGGTAGCACATGCCTGTAGTTCCAGCTCCTTGGAAGGCTGAGGCACAAGGATCCCCGGAGCCCCGCAGGTCGAGGCTGCGGTGGCCGGGAGCAGCCACGGCTCTCCAGTCTGGGCGACCGAGTGAGACTCCGACTCAGAAAAAAAAAAAAGAAAGAAAGTAGATCTTCTGGGGCAATCCCTTTGGGTCCCCTCCCACTGTGGGAACTTTTCCGTGCTCTCAATAAAGCCTGCTCTCTAAAAAAGAAAAAGAAAAGAAAAAAAGGAAAGTAGATGTTCTCTTACCTCTCTGCTCCAATTAAAAGGAGGAGAAGTGGAGGCAAACCATGTGATTTCGCCCCAAAGCGCCCATCCCCGAGGACGCCGGCTACGGAGCTCTTACCATCATTTTGCTCCTCCACGAAGTTCTTGAACTCGTTCCTCTGTTCCTCGTGATACTCCCTCCGCAGCTCATCTGCCCGTAGCTTCTGCCTGTTTTCCGCTGAGAAAGGAAAAGAGCAAAGAGTGGCCCCCAAGCACGAGGGCTCTCGGGGGCACAGGGGCAGCACCGACATTCCATCTGGGAAGCTGAATCTGGTTGGGGGTGTGGCAGATGACGGACTGAGCCTGGGGGCTTTCCTGAAAGGGTTGATCATAAACCTCGAAGGACCCGGGAGATCATCTGATCCAACAGCCTCATTTTACAGATGAGAAGGCAGAGGCCCCAAAGTTAGCTTGGGCCGTGATGTTGGCGGTGTCTCCATGCAGACCAGGCCACTGGGAAAGCCTATGACCAGAAATGAGTTCCATGATGGAAAATGACTCTAGTCAAAGTTGGTCTCACATTAATTGACACTTTCTTTTTTTTTTTTTTGGAGTTGGAGTCTCACTCTGTCGCCCAGACTGGAGTGCAG